AGGGGCACACATACACCAACCCACGGCCTAACCAGTTCCTCACGCATGCGCACAGCCATATCACCCGGGCAGAACAGCTCTCCATGGCTGCCACTGCCCGGGTGATATAGCTGTGCGCATGCGTGAGGTACTGGCCAGGCCGTGGGTTGGTGTATGTGTGCCCCTTGCTTTAAGTTTGTCTTATCTTTGATGTGTTCACAAGATAACCCTGGAATTCTCGATTGGCGTTTAGCAGGAGTCCATCAAATTTGATGGGCTCCTGCGTTTAGGTGTTCCGGTCACACGGAAACATCTTAACGGTCCGAGATTTAGACGCCTTTCTGTTCAAAAATTAAAACGTCAAAATAGAGAAGAGGCCAAATTTTTAGCCGCTACGGCCGAAGCGGTGTGAAAACCATAACCGTCTAAATTTTTGGACAGCGACGGCATGGCTGCATCGATGCGTGGTCACTCAGCTGAAGACGCCATTTTGGATTTGTTAAAGTAACGCTTTGTCCATGAACAAATAATAAAAGCACTAAAAAAGGTAAAATTAAATCTAGTTCGACAGGTTCTGTGTGAACAAAGTAAAAAAACAAATGCAGTGGAAGCCGATCACCTTACGGCCACCCTGGTGGTATGGTCACCTCGTTATTGCGCCCACTTTTGTTCTTTACATTAAAAACCCCGTTAATGCAGTGACCCGTTGATACGGCCAACGGCCACATTTTCAAATTCCAGACGTTAGAATCTCTTATAATTTCACCCCGGCCCTGTTATACGGCCACTTGTTCGAAATTTAGAAAATTAACTGCCTGTGTGATCTGTCAATTTTAGTGACCTAGTACTCTGAGTCTGTTCTTGTACTGTTTCTAGACCACAGCACCCATAAAAGTGCACTTGCTGCGATTTTTTTTAGCTGAATTTGAAAAGTGTTTTATGTACTGAAAGAAAATTTTAAGTAGTTTTTCCAATTACTGTACGCGATATCTTCATTCTGCTGGTTGTTTATAAATGCGGACAGTTGTTCAAGAAATGCGAATACGATGTACGGTGTACTTGTCATTCAGCCCTCAAGTCATGAAATTTGAGCCAGTGCCCCGATATACCGGGGGGAGTACTCCCTTATATAAGCCTTACAGGTATGTGCCGCCCCATCGGGTAGGGGTTTTGCGCCGTTTCGGTCTGAAAACGGGTATACACTTTGCCCATTTTGATCTGGAATCGGGTATGGTTTTCGAGGGAGCTACGAGAGTGTATGAACGTATTTACCGTTTCAATTCCAAATGAGTAAGAAAGAAAGAGAAATATGCGAATTCGAAACGGATTTGAATATTTTTTTTGTTTGCGCTCTAATCCAAGTAATGATAACATAATTTCTGCCTAAAGGCCAGGTCTGAATACGGGTATCGATTTTAGAGGTCTAGTCTGAAAAGGGATGTGGAAAATTACATTTTTTGGTCTGAAATCGGGTCAGGATTTGAAGTTAGTTCCCGTATTTATAATGAGATTTATGTATTTGATTACGAAGTTCAATTTGCACTCTTTTGTTCATGGTTATTTATGACCACAGCTAAAAATAAGTTTATTACTTATGATGTTTTCGTCTAATCTATAGGTCTTTATTGGAAACTGTGACCATTTTACTCCGGTTCTGAATACATTAAATCCTGTTACGGCCAGATACGTCAAAATCATTGTCGTTAAGGCCAGCTATCCATGTATGAGGGTTGAATTGTATGGCTGCGACAACTAAAGATCGTGAGTATATTAGTGAACACGATCTAGAAATCACAAATTGATAATACGATCTGCGAAACCTTATCTTAACTTTACTAGCCAAGAAAACTCAAATTTGTCCTTCACCTAAGAAAAAATGCGCCTGTACACCCAGGGGAGGGAGGGAGGGGGAGTACTGCCAAAATATGGGCTATATAGGAGTGTGCCGCTGTGAAGAGTACGGTTTTCAAGCAGTTTACTCTGGGACATAGTAAATACATCAGGGAGTTTGGGTCTAGTATAGAGTATCATTTTCCAGGAAACTGATCAATTGGTTAAAGATTTCATTTTAGACTAGGGAAACCGGGAATTGCCAATCAAAAATATAAAAAAATCAAATCGGTTTTGTTTTGGCTCGACTGTGCTAGCGACCTTAGTAGTTTCTGGAAAAAATAGCTAGTCTAGGATAGGGGGAGGGGGATTTGGGGAGTTTAGTCTAGTATAGTGTAGCAAAATTTACTTGACTCTCGGTAGCACATCCACCCCATCCCCGCGCCTCTTCATTAATATCAGAAAATAATGACTGACTGATTAGAAAAGATGACCCCTCAACAGAAAATCTTACTGTTTTTTTTTTCTCTATTCTTATCCACAGATCCACCACCGGAAATTTCTCAGTCAGATTGATAACATTAATGAAAAGTTGTAGAGTATTTTAGAGTTATGGTAGACGCTGTCTAAGGGCAGCATAACTGACAAATAAACTACTCGGCGCTAAACTACTCTTTTGTTTGCCTTTTTTGGGAGGAAAGCGCCACATTACGGTCGTAAACCTGAATTGTGCAAGCGCTGAGAGCGTACTAGTCTGCTACACAGCCGTTTTTAGTGTCGTCACGCAACGTTCCTCCCCACAATTCCAAGGAATGTGGTTCGATTCTCAGCAGCCGTTTCTGGGGAGGAGCGTTACCTGACGACACTAAAAACGGCTGTGCAGCAGACTAAGAGCGTACGCACAACATTCCGCTTTCATAAAGGAGTTATAGTGCATGTTAATTACTTAACTAGTACATTTTATCACAGAATTGCTCAATAGAAGCTTGCAGGGGCGGATCTAGTGGGAGGGTGCAGGGGGTGCGCACCCCCTCCCCCCCCCCCCCCCCC